ATACATATGTGTATATATATATATATATACACATATATATCACTTTCTATTAATTTGAGAAAATCCGTCTTATGTGGCACTACTAGTTTATACTTACGGAGCCATGATGTTGCAAGCAATAGGACACTGTCAAAATGCCAGAATCACCAGTTTGAGAGGGACAACAGAACCATTTAGGAGCACTCTCGCACATGAGCCGTCACAAGAAGCTGCGAACGTTTCACGATAGCGCGAGAAGAGCGCGTGAGTTATACGTCAGTTGAGAAAAACGATAAGAAAAAGTTGTTAGAGCGCGAGGCGCTGCGAACGGATGTTTCGAGAAGTAGTAAACGGGTTCAAGGTTCAGATGTGGCCTTGAGGTGCTAGAAATGCCGGTCACGATTATTCAGACATTCTGAAGGAGATGGATGTAATATTGTTAAGTCTCCCAGCGATGCAGACGATGAGCGCTCACTATGGTACTAAACTGCAAATTCGTTTCATATTACATTCGAATTTTCCCGAAGTTTTCATCAGTTAAAAAGGAACTTCACTCTCTACTGCGAATTCTAATGCAACAATAATTATATTAAAAATCTTGAAAACACAATTGAAAATTTGAAGCAAGAATATAAATGGAATTGCATAAGCTATATTTCTGTAGGAAAAATAAAACTTCTTAATGTTCATTGATCCTTGTTTAAACGTGCGAACGGACAAATAATTTTTTTTGTGACTGACGGCGTACTGTAGAATTACGAAACAGATCACAATTTTTGGAAAGCTATTTGCAATAGTAATAATAATAATTAATTATTATTATTATTATTATTATTATTATTATTATTATTATTATTATTATTATTATTATTATTATTATTATAATAATCCGGCCCCCGTGGCGCAGCCGTCGTCTGCGCCGAGGAGGCTGCAGGTTGAATCCTGCGTAGACATGGTCGTATTTGTGATTGTCCATTCACCCATCATCATCATCATCATCATCATCATCATCATCATCATCATCATCCTATTATCTCATAATTCACACTTCAAGGCGTAACAACCTTGTCGTACTGAGGAATACAGCTAAAAACTGGTCCTGAACAAATTACACACGTTAATCGTGTAGCGTGGTTAGTAATGGTCTATGCGCCAA